GACGAGAGAGGGAAAGAGGGGGACGGGGACGAGAGGAACAAACAGGGCAACAGGGGCGAAAGGAGCAGATAGGACAAAAGGGACAAGAGGAGCAGATAGGGCAACAGGGACGAAAGGGGCTGGTAGATACTGAGGTGCGGGGACTGGCAGGTAAAGAGAAAGCAGATGAAGAGAAGGCAGGTGCTGTCGAACGCCCTGTTGGTAGCAAAGCTAATAGTTTGCCCTTGATGGCCCAGCCAAGGGGAGGCACAACTGCTGAGGGTACAGCTGGGAAAGGGGCTACTAGGGAAGGTGCACCTAGGGAAGGTGTTGCTGGGGAAGGTACAGGTGGGAAAGGTTCATGTGGGAAAGGAGGTGTTACTGAGAAGGAATGTGCTCCTTCGGACAGTGATGTGGAAGAGGTGGTAGAGGAGAGTGGTGCAGAGCGGTTGAGTGAGAGAGAACGGGTTGAGGCAGCAGGTGAAGGGACAATGGCTAGGGAGAAGGGGGAGAAAGAAAAAGGGGAGAGGTGGGAGAGGGAGAGGGGGGAAAGGGAGAGGGGAGATGCTAGAGGGGGGGGAAAGGGGGATGAGGAGAAGGATGGGATTAGAGAAGGGGAAGGGAATGGGGGTTCAGGGGTAAAGAGAAAATCGAATGTGGATGCTGCTATTGGTAGTGCTGGCACTGATGGTGGTTTGGATAAGGTGAGGACAGGAGGAGTGGGGGAGAAGGAAGGTAGGGAGGTGAGGGAAGGGGAAAAAGGGAAGGGAGGGGCGAGGGAGGAGGGGGGTGGAGGGAAGGAGGGAAAGGGAAGAATGGAGTGAGGACTTTTAATAGGTGGAGAAATCCGGTGAGTGTCAAATCAAACCAAAACATGCGAGATCTGCTGCTGTGTGATGGTAGATTGACGATGTTCTTTATTTTATGGTATGTACTATGTAGATTGTGGCCATAGATTGGATGGGCTACTGTTCGTGATGATGCCGGTGGTTGGCGCTCCAAATGTGCAAACCGAATAGGGCCAGTTGGATCATTGCAAATGTTTAATAAGTGAACTCAGCTGGGTGCTTGTGCTGTACATTCTTTGTTGATCTGGTTTCTAGTTCAGTTCAGTAGCGGGATACTGTAGAAAATCCACCCAACCACTGGAGTATTGTACGCGATTGTGGCATCGCTTGGGGAATACAGTAACAATGAAAACGCGCGCACTCCCGTCCCGTCTTTTTCTGATCGCTCCTCTCTCGATACTCACGCCCGCTAGGCTGCACGATCGTAATCATATCTTTCGCGCCGTTTGCGGTATTAGTTAGACTATTCTGGTCTCTGTCTTCGCACATGCAAATTTAGTCGGTGCTATGGAATCTGGGGTTGCAGAGGGTAAGGAGGTAGGTGCGTTGGCGGTGGACGCCGCGCCGCGTGCGGCGGAGATTAAGGAGGCGAAGGACCGCCGGTGGGATCGTAGCGAGATTCGCGGCATGTGGGAGTTTGCTTCGATACTTGATTTTTTCAGAGTAATTACTCGCGTTCGTGCGTCGGAAACGTAGGATATAAGGGCGGCCATTGATTTCACGGTTGCGAAAAGGACTTTCCGCAATTACCGGCACTTGGTCGCGTTAATGTGATTGCGCGAGAAAAGTTGCACAGTCGTCCTTTTTGTGACGTTAGGACGGACTTATTTCATTCGCTATATTAAATGTCTGTTTCCAATTCCTGCTGTGGCAAACAAACTCAGATGGCGATTCGGGCTCCCTCGCGTCGCGCTCCTCGCGCCGCGATCAGCGAACCATGGCCTCTGCCTCCCTCGCGTGTCGTCACTGAACATCCCCCATAATACTCCTTCACAATATTCTCATAACTTCATGACTCTCCGTCCCTGCTCAAATCCATTACGATTTTTTTCCAGATTTTCCGGGAGCCGCTACAGCTTAGCATCGACGCTACAGCCGAAGACATCGAAACGGCTCTGCTAACGCCGGAGCCGTCTCCGCTTCTTAAAGACATACACATTACGCTTCTTAAGGTGACTAGGGTTTGCTCACAGCGCCACGCGACTTGGCATCACTGGATCATGGCGGTTCGTAGTTGCATCGAGCATTCATCCTAACGTAACGCAGCGTTATTTCCTTTCCGTAGCGCTTGTTCGGTTGACGAAATCCGTTAGGATTAGTCGGCTTACTGTAGGCTGTGCTCGGCATCTGCTGTCAGCCTGTCAATGCTTATCAGTAGAGTGGTTACCTTTTGATAATTTCTGTGTTTCGCCAGTGGTTACACTTCGCAAAAATTATCGTTTCTTCAGGCGTTCAGGCTTTCAGGCATTCAGCCATTCAGGCATTCAGGCATTCAGGCATTCAGGCATTCAGGCATTCAGGCATTCAGGCATTTAGGCTTTCAGGCATTCAGGCATGCAGGCAAACACAGCATAGCACTTATCATGGAGCGAGCACCTACATGGTGCTCTTCCTGGTTCCTGTTTTGATACGGGACCAGTTCGAAACGTTTGGGCCAGGAAGGAACATTGAACTGAGCAATCCGCTCCGCCCCACCCCTTTCTCCCGCTCCTCCTCCCGTGCATGCAGGGCATTCAGCCGTTCAACCGGCCACCTGCCGACCATCGCACGTGGGCCACACTTGTGTGCAGGCGTGTGCACAACACATGGCCGCAGGTAGGCATGCAGAGGAATACACGATGATGATGACGATGCATGCAGGACTGTGCACAGCACATACCCGCAGGTGCATACACGCTGAACTCTGCATGATGTATGTATGGCATGCATGCAGGCAGCATATGATGCACGCATGTCTGTCTGTGTGCAGTGCAGTGCAGTGCGCGCAACACAAACGCAGCACATGGCTGTTGGTACAGGCATGCATGCATGATGTTACCATGCTTTAATGTCTGCTATGCTATCCCCGTCCCCCATGCATGCGACAAAGAAGTCGTCCCGTTCCCACACTCATATCCCCTCCAAACGCAACTTTCATCCCGTTCTGCCCCCGCTCCGCTCTCATGATCTCGTGTTGCGTTTCCCCCCCCACCTGCACTGCACTTGTGCCCTGGACGCATATGTGGCTGGGTGCACGCACCCTGCCCTATGCGTGTGTGTGTGTGTGTGTGTGTGTGTGTGTGTGTGTGTGTGTGTGTGTGTGGAGGGGGGCGGGGGGAGGTGTGTGCGTGTGTCTGTGTGCGTCTGCGTGTCTGTGTGTCTGCACGTGTGTGCACCCCTGTTTGTGCGTCAAACCAGGTCGCTCCCGGATTCTGCCCCCTTTATTCCTGTCAGGGGTGAGTGCCTTCGCTTTCTCTTCTCTGTTTGCACCCCGTTGCACTGCACCCCATTGCACACCATTGCACCCCATAGCACCCCATTGCACCCCATTGCACCTCTTGCTCCTCAGCACCCATGCCCACCCCTCATGAGCCCACCTCTCCTCCACTGCGACCACATCTTGCCCACGGCCACCCCACTCCAGGGCAGATGCGGAGCTCTATGCGTCCCTCCCTCCACTTGACCACGTTTACATCTTGATCCCCCCATGCGTCCATCCCTTACCTGCTTACATTCTTTTCAGGGCAGAGGCAGAGCTCTATGCGTCCCTCCCTCCCCCTGACCGCGTGCGCATCTTGAAAGCCCTCTGCGAGATTCGCCTGGATGTGAGTAAGAGCTGCTGCGCTGTGAGGTGAGGAGCAGTTATGTGACATGATTTGTTCTGAAGCAAGCCCTGTGATGTGATGTGCGGCGAGGCGAGACACGAGTAGTGAGAGAGACAATATGGATGGAGGCATCCAAACCAAATGGCTGGGTGGATGTGAGTGAGTGAGTAATAACGTGCCCAGACATGTATTAATGTGAGATCAAGGTTAAAAAAAACGACCGTATTATTGATATTTTACCGTAAAAAACGGTATGGTAAAATACGGTCGTAAAAAACGGTTTAAAACGGTTCCAGGAGGTGTTTTTGTTTGAAGAAAAAAATGGCTGATGTGTGGGACCAAAACAATGGCAAAAGGTACCAGGATGAAGAGGACGAACCCCTCCTTGCATGCGTGCGCTTGTGGGCATGATTGAAAATGTTTAAAACCTTCCCCTTTTTTTTTCTTGGTGACAACAATTCTCTAACAAAAAAACGCCGTTTTTTTGGAAAATTACCGTAAAAAACGGACCGTAGAATACGAAAACCGTAATTTTGAACCTTGTGTGAGAGACAATATGGGTGCATGTGAAAGGGAAACTTTTTTTTTTTCCTGCCTGCCTCCCCTCCTTCCTCTGTACCCGTCATGTCACCCACCCTTCTTCACTGCTTCTCTCTGGCCCCAACCCTCCATCACACAGCAAGAGGACACGCGTGTGGTTGTAGAGGCTGCTATGAAGAGGAATCCCGAGGAGATTGCAGGCTTATCAACTCCTTCTCTCTGCCTCCCTCCCTGCCTCCCTGACTCTTTTCGCATCATCCCTCCCTCCAACCCCCACCACACAGCAAGAGGACACGCGTGTGGTTGTAGAGGCTGCTATGAAGAGGAATCCCGAGGAGATTCGCATGGAAGGGGGCTGGATTCGCATGTACTCTCCCCCCCCCCCCCCCCCCCTTCCCCTTGCACCCAACCCTGCTGCAACTTCCCCCTCTCCCCCCCACTCCAACCACCACGCAGCAAGAGGACACGCGTGTGGTTGTAGAGGCTGCTATGAAGAGGAATCCCGAGGAGATTCGCATGGAGCCGTTTGGGTTGGACGCCAACAACCACGTGTTCTGGTGGGTGCGCTGTGGTGCAGTGCGGTGCTTTGTGGTGTATTGCGGTGCTGTGTGGTGCAGTGCTGTATGGAAGGAGTGATGTGCTTTGAAGGTGCCTCAGATCTCCAATTGATCTTTCAGATTTCGCAATGACTCAGTGCTGGGCCATAGGCTGATCAAAGAGGGCCCCCCTGTTTGTCATGCCCATTGCATCTTACACTCTTTGCTCTCACCTCCTACTCGACCCCTCTCTCCCCCCTTGTTTTCAAACTCCGCGCTTCAGGTTCTGCAATGACTCAGTGCTGGGTCATCGCCTGTTCAAAGAGGGCCCACCTGCTTTCATCACGCAAGAGGAGGCTGACGCTGCTGCTGCTGCTGCTGCAGCTGCTGCTGCCGCTGCCGCTGCTGCTGCTGCTGCAGCTGCTGCTGCTGCCGCTGCTGCTGCTCTTGCTGCTAATGTGCCTGTTCCTGCTCTTGCTGCTGATGCTGCTGCTGCTGTTTCACCTGCAGAAACCACAGCAGCGGTGGTGGAAGAAGCAAAGGCAGAGGCTGCATTAGATGCTGCCAGAAGTGTTGCTGAAGCTGCTGAACCGCCTGATGATCACACAGCTGCTGCTGTTCCTGCAGAAGAGACGGTGGCAGTGGTGGTGGAAGGAGCAAAGGCGAAAGCTGCAAATGGTGCTGACGAGAGTGCTGCAACACCCGAATGTGAAGGAGCTGAAGCTGAAGCTGATACTACGGCTGTTGAACCGGCTGCTACTAGTTCTGATGATCACGCAGCTACTACTGTTCCTGCAGAAACTGCGGGAGTGGTGGGGGAAGGAGAAAAAGCGAAGGCTGCAACCAATGCTGCCAAGAGTGCTGCTAAAGCCGAAGGGGAAACAGAAGCTGCTGAGGCTACTCAACCTACCACTACTTCCAATGATCACACAAATGCTACTGTTCGCATGCCCCCTGCGTTGAGAGGTGAAGGAGTGGCAGGGGCAACAGCAGATGCAGCAGCAGCAGAAGCGGCAACAGGGACAGGAGAGGTAACAGAGGCAGCAAGGGCAGACGAGGCAGCAGCAGCAGCAGCAGCAGCAGCAGCAGCAGCAGATGTTGCAAGAGTGTCAGCTAGTGCTGAAGCTGGTGCTCTTGCCACAGAGCCTGCTACTACCGCTGATGATACCATGGCTGTTACTGCGGCTGCTTCTGCTAATGATGCCTCTGCTGATGGCGCTGCTGCTGCTTCTGCGGATGGCGGTGATGCATCAGCGGTCAAGGAGGCCCCATCTGGCAAAACCGGAGCATCTGAGCCGTCCGTTAACCCAACACCACCATCTGTTCCCCTGCAATCTGAACCACTACCCACTCCCACTAGTGAAGCCTCTAAGGCTGACAGTGTTACAGCGCTCAGTGTGGTTACCAGATTGGGTGACGCCAAGCCTTGTGCAACTGGGGTTGACCTGATTTTAAAGTCGCCCTTGGGGAGTCCTGATAATAAGGGGCTATCACGAAGCAATGATAGGGAGCTATCACGAGGCAGTGGTAAAGGGACGCAAGGTGATGGGGATTTAGTGAGTGGGCTAGCTGCTATTGGGAGTCCTGTTGATAAGGAGCTATCACGTGGCAATCGCAGGGAGTTGTCACGAGGCAATGATAGGGAGATATCACGAGGCAGTGATAAAGGGTCGCAAGCTGATGGGGATTCTGTGAGTGGGCTAGCTGCTATTGGTGGGTTGAAGGCTAAAGCTGGGGTGAAGGCAGAAGAGGAGGATGGGGGAGCGAAGGTGGGAGGAGGAGAGGAAAGTGGGGTGGAAGCAAAGGAGAGAGGGGTGAAAGCGGAGGAGAGAGGGGTGAAAGCGGAGGAGGGGGAGGGAATGGGGAGAGGAGAAGAGGATAAGGTGCTTGTGAAGAGAGGGATTGTAGCGAAGGAGAATGAGAGGGTTTACAGGAGGCGAGGTGGCAAGGAGGCGGGGAGGAAGGATTGTGAGGGCAGAGAAGGGGAAGATGGAAAGGGAGGCAAGGGGGGGGTGAAGGGGGAAGATGCGAGTGGTCAAGGCGGTGTTGGTGAGGGTAACGAGCATAGAGGGAAGGAGGGGGCTAAAGGGGAAGAGGGTGAGAAGGAAGAGGAGGAAGAGGAGGAGAAGGAGGCGGAGGAGGAGAAGAAGAAGGAGGAAGAAGAGGAAGAGGAGAAGGATGCTGGTGTGATTGACTTAACTGATGCAGATCCATGCATGCCTGCTCGTGACGACTCAGCCAAACCTGCTCAAGACACCTCAGTCACTGCCGCTGCTGGAAAAGAAGACTCAGCCGTTGCTGCTAAGGCAGATTCAAGCACCCGTCCCACCCGCCATGGCATGAGCACACGAACCAGGTCAGGCACACTCCGCCCTCCTTCCGTCGCCAAACCTGTTCCCAAGCCTGCTCCCAAGCCTGCTCCCAAGCCTGCTTCCAAGCCTGCTGCCAAGCCTGCTGCCAAGGTTGGCAGCAAGAAGGGGAGGGGTGCTGCAGCTGCTGCTGATTCTGGTGCAGAGGGCAGGAGGAAGGTGAAGAAGAAAGCCCGACCGGTGTTCCTGCCGCCCGTGTGTGGCGAGTTTGCCACTGCTGCCGTGTGCCTCACTGACTTCACTGCTCTCGCGGTGAGTTGAAAGTTCAAACCAATGAGGAGCTCTCACAGTTGTGCCCACCTGTGTGCGGCAAGGCGAGTTCAGGACTGCTGCTGTCTGCCGTGTGCCATGGTAACGAGGTGACTTTTGAGTCGACTCAAAAGTCACCTGGATGACGGGTTCATGACTGCTGCTGTTCTGCCTGTCTCGCAGATTCATTTCACAGCTCTCGCGGTGAGTTATGTTTGCGTTATGTTCTTTCTTTCTTTGACTGATTCAGATCAGCTTATATAGGTTTTTCTTCCTGCTGCCTTCCATGGCGTGGCTGTATCTGCAGGACGATCTCAGTGCCAGTGTGCATAACGCGGATCAGCTTATAGCGGATCGCCTGACAGAGGAGGCCATACCCAAAGTGGAGCTTGAGGAGAAGGTAAGGGATGGGATTGTTCTTTCACGCTCACTCGTAGAGTGAGTGAGAGTCTATTGTTGAGTCGACTCAAAAATTCACTCGTAGAGTGAGTGAGAGTCTATTGTTGAGTCAACTCAAAAATTCACTCGTACAGTGAGTGAGAGTCTATTGTTGAGTCGATCGACTCAAAAATTCACTCGTAGAGTGAGTGAGAGTCTATTGTTGAGTCGGCTAAAAAATTCACTCGTAGAGTGAGTGAGAGTCTATTGTTGAGTCGACTCAAAAATTCACTCGTGGAGTGAGTGAGAGTCTATTGTTGAGTCGACTAAAAAATTCACTCGTAGAGTGAGTGAGAGTCTATTGTTGAGTCGACTAAAAAATTCACTCGTAGAGTGAGCGAGAGTCTATTGTTGAGTCGACTCAAAAATTCACTCGTAGAGTGAGTGAGAGAGTACCAATCACAATCGACTCTTGAGCCGCCTCAAAAGTTAGAGTGAGTGAGAGGGTACCACTCACAACCGCTCTTACCAAACGTTTGAGTCGACTTGAAAGTTACGTTTAAGTCATGCTACGGTTGTTTTTTCAGTCACCCTCCTGCTTCCGATTTCTCGTCTCTTCCCTTCTCCCTTCACGCCTCCTCACACCAGCGCAAGGAGCGGCACGTGAAGAGGCAGCAGAAGTATTTGCCCAGCTGGCAGCACAGCTAGCAGCTATGGTTATACCTAACCCCCTCTCCCTTCTCTTCCCTTCACCCCTTGTCTGCACCCCCACCAGCGCAAGGAGCGGCACGCAAAGAGGCAGCAGAGGCAGGCAGCGCAGCTGGCACCTATGGTCTTACCCCCTAACCCCCCTCCGTTCTCTTCCCTTCACCCCTCTTCTGCACCCCCACCAGCGCAACGAGCGGCATGCAAAGAGGCAGCAGAGGCAGGCAGTGCAGCTGGCAACTACGCTGTATCCAAACCCCACTGCTACCTCTTACTTGTTCTCTCATTACCCGCTGCCCCCACCAGCGCAAAGAGCGGCATGCAAAGCGGCAGCAGAGGCAGGCAGCGCAGCTAGCAGCTTTAGTTGTTCCCAACTCCCCTCCCTTTTCTTTCCTTCACCCCTCTTCTGCACCCCCACTCAACAGCGCAAGGAGCGGCACGCAAAGAGGCAGCAGAGGCAGGCGGCACAGCTGGCAGCACAGCTAGCAGCAGCCATGGCAGCAGCAGGGCAGTACGCAGGGGGGTACGGCGAAGGGCTGGCTCTGGGTCGATCGAGGCGGGAGAGAAAACCCGTGACCTACACCTTTGGTGCGTGCACTCCTGTAGATGTGATGCTCTAATGCTCATCTGGTTTGACGGGTGGTGTCCTGTGCGGGGTACAGCAAGGGGCTGGCCCTGGGCCGATTGAGGAGGGAGAGAAAGCCCGTCACCTACACCTTCGGTGCGTTTATCATACTATGAATTCCTATTTCATTAAGAATTCCTATTTTCCTATTAAGAATTCTTCCATTGTCATACTACCTGCCAAATTTCATCAGTTGGTTCAAGGCTCTCGTTTCTGTGTGTCTAGTCATTGTCACTTCTCCCCCGTGCTCTTGCTTTGCCCCTCCTCCCTTTCCCCTTCCCCTTTCCCCCCCCTTCCCCTTCCCGAAATCCTATTGACATAATGCTTATCCATCCCCCCTCCCCCCCTCCCCCTTTCCTTTTTCCCGTTCCCCCACCCTTTTTCCTTCCCGTTCCCCCTCGCCTTGCCCTTTCCCCCGCTCAGACGACTTTGATCGATCTATCAACGATGCCATCACACTACCTTCCAAATCTCGTGAGCTTCCTCCCGAGCACGCTCCCACTCGCGAGGGCCTCCGACAGCTGGCAGGGCGGCGCGTTTTGTCTGCTAGCGGTGATGCGGTTGGTAGTGGTGTGGGGGGGGACGGAGGAGGGGAAGGGGATGTGGGAGGCGGGAGGGGAGGAGAGGAGGGGGAGGGAGAGAGAGAAAGGGGAGAAGAGAAAGGAGGAGGAAACGAAGGGGAAGGGGAAGGAGGAAGAGAAGGAAAAGAAGAGGAGGGAGGAGAAAGAGGAGAAGAGGAAAATGGTTTGAGAGTAGGGACGTCTGGGGAAGGTTCATATGGGGAAGGAGAGATGGAGGAGAAGGGGTGCAAGGGTGCAGAGGGAAAGGGGTCTAGGGAACCAGAGGAAGGGTTGTGTAAGGATGGGAAAGGAGGGAATAGTTTTGAAACGTCTCGAAAGAGTTTTGAGACGTCTCAAAAGGGGTCTGGGGGACCAGAGGAAGGGTTGTGTAAGGATGGGAAAGGAGGGAAGAGAGAAGGGCGGATAAGTGGAGGGGACAGTGATGGTGAGAAGGAGGAGGGTGATGAAAAGGATAGTGATAGTAGGGATAGTGATAGTAGTGATGGTGAGTGGAACGAGAGTGGTGATAATGATGGGAATGGGAGTGATGGTGAGGAGAATGAAGGGACGCAGAAAGGGAGGAGGGAGGGAGGGGAAGGCGAAGGAGAGGAAGAAGAGGACAGGAAGAGAAGGGTGAAAGGTGAGAGAAGAGAAGGTGGAAGAGAGATCTGGGAAAGGAAGGAGGGAAGAGGGGAAAGGGAGGGTAGAGAGGGGAGAGTGGGAAGAGCAGAAGCGGAAATAAATGGGGAAATGGAGCAGAGGTTAAGGAAGAGACGACTGAGGGAGGGACGGAAAGAAGAGGATGGGGCAATGGATGAGTGCTTCACATTTGAGAATTCTCAAAAGTGCTTCACAGGATCGGGAGGGGAGGGAAGGAAGCGGCGAAAGGGAGGCTATGTGGGGGATTATAACGAGGATGGGGTGTTGGGGAAAGATGAGGAGGAAGGAAAAGGAAGGGGTGGGGAGGAGAGGGAAAAGGAAGAAGCAGAAAGTGAGGGAGAGAAGGTGGGGAGAGATGAAGAGAGGGAAGAGAGGACGGCGGTAGACGCAGAGGAGGGGAAGAGACAGGTGAAGGGGGTTAAGGCAGACGCGGAGGGGGATGAGGATGAGCGAGAGGGGAAGGAAGAGTATGGGCTTGAGAAGAAGATGCAGAAACAGGATGGTGGTGGTGATGAAGAAGAAGAAGCTTCTAACGAGGATGGTCAAAGAGAGATGAGGAAGGGAGAGGTGACAGGAGGAGGGAAGGAAGTGAGAGAGGGGACGAGAGTGAGGGGGGAAATGGAGGAGGGAGTGGATGGGTGGGTGGATGGGGGAGTGGATGGGGGAGTGGGGAGAAGAAGGAAGGAAAAGAGAAGAAGACCTGAAGCTGCATCTAGGCCAAAAGAAGTGAAGGATGGCAAACCTGGCTTAGACGCGCAGAAAGGGGATGGGAGAAGAAGGCTCAGGAGAAAAGGCGGTGGCTTGGTGGGAGGGGAATTGGGTGGGAATGAGGGGATGCAGGGAGGGGGTGATGGTGTGGGGGCAAGGACCAGGTGGGGAGGGAGGAGGCCTGATGGCGTGTCGTTTAAAGAGGAGGAGAGTGGGGAGGAGGGGAGTGGGGAGGAGGGGAGGGACGTGGATGAAGGAGGGAGGAGTGGGGAAGAGGAGTGGAGCGCAGAGGAGGAGGAGGCAGAGGCAGGGGAAGAGGAAGGGAGTAGGAAGGGATTGGGGGAGGTGAAGAGGGATGCCCGTGGAAATTCGCGAAGGAGAGAGGGGAGGGAGCGGAGGGAGCGGAGGGAGCGGAGGGAGAAGAAAGAGAAGAAAGAGAAGAAGGAGAACAAAGGGGGGAAGGAGGGGAAGGAGGGGACGCCTGAAGGAGTGCGTGCAGCAAACGGGCGAGGAGGAGCGGAGCGGGACAAGGCTGACAGAGTGAAGCCTCTTTTGGAGCCTCAACAAGGGGCCTCGGACTCGGACATTCAGCCGTTGAGGCTGCTCAGGTGGGCTCTCCCTTCACGTGTTGCTCTAGTTGGCTTGGCTCTCCCTTCCTGCTCAAGTGCTGCTCCCCAGTTGCGGTCTTAAGCCGATGATTTGGACGAGGTGAATTTCGAGTCGACTCAGAAGCCACCTTGCTTCGGAAGAGGAAAAAGAGGGTGTGAAATCCGGAGGAGGGTCTTGAGCTTTTGAGGCACTCCTCCTCCTCCGCCTCAAAACTCAAAACTCGACAGTTCTGAGGCGCCTCAAAAGTCGGAAGAGGAAGAAGAGAGTGTGAACCGGGAGTTGGGGCTTTAGCTCAGAATTCATTTCTGTCATCACCGTTATGCACCTTTAGTTTACTTTTGAGAATTTTCAAAAGTACACTGTTATGCACCTTTATTTTACTTTTGAGAATTTTCAAAAGTACACCGTTATGCACCTTTAGTTTACTTTTGAGAATTTTCAAGAGTACACCGTTATGCACCTCTAGTTTACCTTTGAGAATTTTCAGAAGTACACCGTTATGCACCTTTAGTTTACTTATGAGAATTTTCAAAAGTACACTGTTATGCACCTTTATTTTACTTTTGAGAATTTTCAAAAGTACACCGTTATGCACCTTTAGTTTAATTTTGAGACTTTTCAAAAGTACACTGTTATGCACATTTAGTTTACTTTTGAGAGTTTTCAAAAGTACACTGTTATGCACCTTTAGTTTACTTTTGACAAATTTCAAAGTACACTGTTATGCACCTTTCCACCCCCTTCTTGTGACTTGGTAAACCTTCGTATTCTGGGACGAAGGGGCTGAGTTGAGCTCCGTATGTACTACCGGTCTGCACCCGGTGTATTTTGAGTCGACTCAAAAGGTGTATTTTGTATTTTGAGTCGACTCAAAAGGTGTATTTTTTATTTTGAGTCGACTCAAAATACACCGAGTCGACTCAAAATACACCCGAAGGGGTTGAGTTGAGCTCCGTATGTACTACCGTTCTGCACCCTTTCACCCCCTACCCCTTCCCACTCCTTCCTATGCTGTTTATCAGACACCGGCCGAAGAAGAGGCGGAGCTATGCTGATATTTTGGAGGAGGAAGGGGAGGAGGAGAGGCGGGAGGGAAGTGTTTAACTGCTAATCTCCTTTCGCATCCTTTAAACACCCTTCTACTCCCTTTCACCCCCTTCCACTCCTCAATTTATCCCATTGCTGTTTATCAGGCACCGACCGAAGAAACCGCGGAGCTATGTTGATATTTGGTTGTGTCTTAACGCCGTTTCACACTCTTTCAAGGCCCTTCTACTCCCTGTCATCCCTTCCCACTCCTTCCTATGCTGTTTATCAGACACCGACCGAAGAAGAGGCGGAGTTATGCTGATATTTGGAGGAGGAAGGGGAGGTGGAGAGGCGGGAGGAGGGTGTTGGGGAAGGAGGGATGGAGGAAGAGAAGGGGCAGGTGAAAGGCGAGGCAGGGCAGGTGAATGGAGAGCCTGGGCAGGTGGAAGCAGAGAGGGGGCAGGTACTAGAAAACGAAGGGCAGGAAGAAAAAGATGGTGAGGAGAGGGGTGAGGGATTGGATTATAGGCCAAAGAGGAGAGGAGGCACGGGAAAGTCGAAGGGTGTGGAAGTTAAGGGTGCAAATATTGAGACCAATGGTGTTGGGAGCAGGGAAACCGATGTTGGTGTAAGTGCCCGTGGTGGCTCAAGTACTGGTGCTGCTGCTAATGGCGCTCCTGAAGCTAGTGCTGGTACTGGTGATGCTAATAACGAGGACAGCATTGGTGATGTGGAGGGAGAGGTGGTGTACTATGAGGAGGAGGAGGAGGAGGAGAGGGCGGCGAGAGAGAGGAGAGAAAGAGGGGTGGCGGGGAGGGTACCAGACGGGAAGGGGAGAGGGCGGGACAGGGGAAGGGCGAAGGAGAAGAGAGGGAAAGAAGGAAAGGAAGGGAAGCGCGGAACGTTGGAGCATGGGCATGTGAAGAGCGGTGTGGTTTGGTTCAAAGGGATTCCTGGGGTGAAGGAGCATACAGAGAAACTTGTCAAAGGGGAGGAGAGAGAGGGAAACGGTGTGATGGAAGAGGAAGAGGAAGAGGAGGAAGAAGAGGAGGAAGAAGAGGAGGAAGAGGAGGAGGAAGAGGAGTATGTGGTGGGATCCCAAGGCAAGAGAAGGAAGAGCAAGAAAGGGTCGCTGGTTGCAAGAAGTAAAGGAGCTCATAGGAGTGTGCAGAGATTACGGGTGGGGGGGAGGAGCAAGGTTGAAAGGAAGAGCGGGGAAGAAGGAAAGAGGGGGGCAGAAAAAGAGAGGAGGAGGGTGGGAGTGGGTAGGCAACGGCAGGGGGGTGAGAATGGGAGGTGGGAGGGAAGAGAAGCGACACATTCAGTGGTTTCTTCCCCTCCTTCGGGTTCTGCTTCTGGTTCGAGGAAAAGAAGAGGCGGGGCTGGTGAGGCGGCTGCTGCTGCTGCACTAGACGCAGCTGCTACTGCTACTGCTGCTGCTGCTGCTGCTGCATGCTAGCGCTGCTGCTTCACCCGTTCCTGCTGGCTCTGTAGCAGCATTCGCGTCTGCTGCTGCAGCAGCGTCAGGAGATGAAGGGACGCCGACTGGAGTGAGGCGGAGCGGTAGAAAGAGGAGGGAGCGGAATTATAGAGACCTGGTGAATGTGAATGATGGGGAGGAGTGGAGCGTGTCTAGTGAGGAGGAGGGGAGGGAACGAGGGGCGAGAGGAGCAAGAGGTGAACGAGGGGAAGGAGGAAAGAGAAGACGGATAGGAGGAGGAGGAGGTGGAGGAGGGGAGAGGCGGAGGAGGGGAGGAGGGGGAGGAGTAGGAGGAGGTGACGGTGGAGGGGTGGGAGGAGGGGGAGACGGAGGAGAGGAGTTCGGAACGAAGAGAAGATTGGTGGTGACTGGGCAGGATGTGCGAGTGGGGGAGGGAGTAAGAGAGGTTGAGGAAGGTAGAGGGGGAGTGAATACGGTTGAGGGTGGTAGAGAGGGGGACGAGGCTGGAGAGAGGGGAGAGAGGAGGGAAATGGGGAGAGGGGAGGAGGTAGGCAGTCCCACAGGTGACAGCGGGAGTCCTAAGTGGAGGGGCGTGAGGAGGAGGAGGACTCAGCATGCAGAGACTCAGCATGCAGACAGTCAGACGCATGTGCTGGGCACATGACAGGCCCTTCGCAAGGCTGATGGGATTCTAGAGCTGGGAGGAGCAAGGCAGTCCCACAGGAAACAGTGGCAGTCCCAGGTGAGCGGGCGTGAGGAGGAGGAGGACTCAGCATGCAGAGACTCATGCTGACAGTCAGATGCACGTACCGGGCCCTTCATAAGTTTGATGGCTTGTTACAACATAGAGGGGAGGAGCTGGGCAGTCCCAGAGGCAACAGTGGCAATCCCAGGTGGGCGGGCGTGAGGAGGAGGACCCAGTAACCAGAGACTCATGCTGACACTCAGACGCACGTGCCTGGCACTTGTCAAGTTCAACGGGTTATTACAACGGAGAGTGGGGGGCAAGGCAGCCCCACAGGCAACAGTGGCAGTCACAAGTGGAGGGGCGTGGGGAGGAGGAGGACCCAGCTGGCGGAGACTCGTGCTGAGAGTCAGACGCACGTGGCGGGCCCTTCACATGGTTGATGGCTTGCGAGCTGGGAGGGAGGGAGCAAGGCAGCCCCTCGGGCAACAGTGGCAGTCGCAGGTGGGCGGGTGTGATGGCCCTTCACATGATTCAGACGGGCCCTTCACATGGTTGATGGCTTGCGAGCTGGGAGGGAGGGAGCAGGGCAGCCCCACAGGCAGGCAACAGTGGCAGTCGCACGTGGCGGGGCGTGAGGAGGAGGAGAAGTCAGTAAAGTCACGCTTCAGAGACTCATGCTGAGATTCAAATGCATGTGGCGGGCCCTTCTCAGGGTTGACGGCTTGATAGTGCTGGGAAGGGAGGAGCAAGGGAGTCCCTCATCCCTAGGGGAGGGGCGTGAAGAAGAGGAGAAGCTGCAATTCTTGTTGACACTCAGAAGAGTGGCGGCGTCGGCGACTCGAAAACTTTGAAAGCGTTGAGTTGATTCTTGTAACTAGGGGTGACAGGGAGTTAGACTTGACGTGGAGTTTTTCAGAAGCCGAAGCTTCTGCTGTTTTTTTGGGGGAGGGAGGGAGGGGGGGGAGGGGGGAAGGGAGGGGGGGTAAGAATTGGGTCAAGTGCATTTAATGGCTTACGGCAGTACCTTTTTGTGGAGCTGTACTTCAGCAGTCCACAATAGAAACGCGATAGGTATGCGCATTGCATTGCTTTGTGAGTCATGGATTGAATTGCATTATCTAACCACCTCGAAGGAATTTTGTGCTCGACAGAGTCATTGCACTAAGTGTATCAGCATGAGGCAAGATGATGTAGGTTATTAGAGGGATACTGGATGGTTCGTAATCTGTCTATCCTGCTTGGCTCTCCACATCTGTTCTTTTCCAACACTGATTGTAGCGAGTACAAGGTTCAGGATATCCGTACGCGCCCTGCCGTAGAAATTACCTTTCCATTGGCCTACTATTGCCTCCGCCAGACCAGCTTCAGCTAGGAAAACACAGGTCCTTTTACATTTGCGCGATCGTGAAGCATTCATATCCGGCCATTCGTCGAATACTCTGCACGATCGAGCGAAAGGCCCGGAATCGAAAATCGAGAATCCGGAAAGCGAGGTTCGGGATCAAAAATCGAGATGGAACTTCTGAGGGACAGCGAGGAGTGGGCTGACGTGGAGCCGCTACCGCAGGACGAAGGTCCGGATCCCGTCGTGCCGATCGCGTATTCGCGCGAGTTCGACGACGCGATGGGTTTCATGCGCGCCGTTCTCGCGTCCGGCGAGCGCAGCGCGCGCGTCTTGCGCTTGACGGAGCGCGTTATCTCCGTCAACGCCGCTAGCTACACCGCCTGGCAGCTCCGACGTGACGTTCTCACGCATCTGCTGTCGTTAGCTGAACCGGAGGCCACGTCCTCGAAGCCCTCGTCCTCGTCAGCGGATAAGAACCGAGGGGATGAAGGCGATTGGCTGGTTCAGGATGAGGTTCTTTACGCTGAAAATGTGACTTTATCGAATCCCAAGAATTATCAGGTGTGGCACCATCGCCGCTGGTTGGCTGCTCTTCGCAAAGATAGGGTTACCAGACGCCAGGAACAGATGAATCAGCAGAAGCAGCAGCAGCAGCAGCAGCAGCAGCAGCAGCAGCAGCAGCAGCAGCAGCAGCAGCAGCAGCAGCAGCAGCAGCAGCAGCAACAGCAGCAGGAGCAGGAATGCGCTTCAAACTCAGCGTCCCCGTTACAGCAATCTCCGTTACGGTCCGTAGCTGAGGTGGCACTGGAAGAATTTCGTTTTTGCGAGGAGGCATTGCAGGGAGATTCAAAGAACTACCACGCGTGGTGCCACAGGCAGTGGGTGGCGAGAGAATTCGACACGTGGCATGGTGAGATGGCGTTCTGTGTGAGGCTGCTGGAGGATGACGTGCGCAACAACTCAGCATGGAACCACAGAATGTTTGTACTGGAGCATCTTATAGCGAAGCAGAAGCAGGGAACAGCAGAGCAGGTGAGAGGAGCCAATCAGAAGGAAGATTCTGAAACTAGGGTTACACCAGTAACAGTGGATGATGAGGTGGCGTTTGCAGTTACCGCCATCTGGCTTGCTCCGTCCAATGAGAGCCCTTGGCGGTATCTCCAAGGGCTGATTCGCCTGCATGAGAAAGAAGCAGCGGGTGTGGTTAAGGAAGGTGATCTGAAGCTTCTTGGAATCTGCGTGGATGTGCTGGCAAGTGAACCGGAGTGTGTTCATGCGTTAGCGACTCTGCTCTCGGTGCTTGGTCGGGGTTGCATTTCTGATGAAGTGGGTTCAGTTTTAGGGTTGAGCCAGGATGATGCTGGTGGTGGTGTGGCTATTTCATGTGTGGATGCAGCTGAAGCTGTCTGTGAGAAGCTGCAAAAGGTGGATAAGATCAGGTGGCGGTATTGGGAGATGAGGAAGAAGCAGATTGCTGGTGCTTATGGGCCGTCTGTTTAGTATAGTGGATATTGTGGAAGTTCTGCATCTATTTTTCCAAGTTCTCTCCCAACCCAACGACAGATGAACTCTCAGAGTTGTTGATGGAAGGGTATTCGAAAATGTTACCGTATAAAGAGATTGTATAGTGGGATGTCCCACTCGTCCCACAACCTATTGCACCAAAATTGATGCAGGGTTATTGGCGAAGAAGCATCAGGTGTGCTCCACATTTTTTTGCGAAACTCGCGAGCGAAGCGTGGCAGATTGTCAGGGACACGCGATCCGGGTGTGGTGGCAGGTGGAGCCGCGGATGTGACAGACGGAACGAATCGGCGGGACAAGGGTAACATAGATTTGCCTGATTGCGTTCAGCGAAAAGACTTTCGTAAGCCACACATAATTCTTCGTCAACACGCCACATTTCATCACTATTTTCGCTCCAATCCTTCACCTTGAACAGCTTTTCTCCACGCAACAGCTTTGTCTCTCGGGGCTGTGAGGATTGGCTAGGGTAGAAATCGACTCACAGAAACTCATGGTGACACGGCGAGATACGTGATCGGACGCCATTAATTAGTAGCTTTGAGTGGCATGGTCAGTTTCTCACTGTCCACTTCAAACACATGTAATTATACTTGTTGTAATTCGCTGCTGTCACTAGCAGGCGATTGTGATTGAACCGAAGCGATCGGGCCCGTTGTAGTAGAGAGTTTGGCGGGAACATTGCGAGTCATCATGAGTGCGACGGCATCAGCGAATCATGCACCGATCTGGAGATTCACGATTCGTCGTACATTTTTCACCGTTTTTTTTTTTCTCACGGCGATGAATCTTCCGGAAGAAGCGGTGGCGGCGCCACATGGCATAAGACTGTGGGGCGACTCGGGGCATCTCCCGAGCCATCAGCATGAAGCGGGGGACGGGCGGGGCGGCGGAATCAGCCTTGAGCGGGCGCTTGCTCTATATCGGGTACAGCGCAACACAAGCTCTTGCACTGTATCAAGACTATCACGCATCAGGGATGTTTCCCGTCGCCCCTCCCGACTCGGACCCCCCGTCCACTCCCCGCACCCAATCCCGCGCGTCCTTTCCCCGACGTGTGCGGCCTAGCAGCGGACTCCGCCTCCCCTCGTGTTTTGAGTCGAGTCAACTCAAAACACGGCTCATTTCACGCGGATTATATGTGGAGAAGTTGCTTGTTGCATGCCAACTTGGTTGTAACCTTTCCCCAACATGTGAGGCCTGGCAGCGGGCTCCGCCCCCCCTCTCCCCCGCCTTGTTAACTTCCGCGCCCCCCCCCACGCCCCTGAAGCTCCCCGCGCCCCCGTTCCCCCCTTTCCCCTTTTTCCATTTCCTCAGGCGTGGACTGACGCTTACGGCCTGGCAGCGGTCTCCGCGCTTCCCCCGCCCCGCCTTGTCAACTTGCTCGTCGTCTTTCCCCGTCCCTTAACCTCCCCGCGCCCCCCTTTCCTCCCCTTCCCTTTTCCTCCCTTCCCTTTTCCCCGGCGTCTCCAGGCATGGACCGACGCTTACGGTGTGGCAGCGGGTTCTGTCCTTCCCCCTCCCCCGGCTTGTTAACTTCCGCGGCTCCCCCCTCCGCCTCCCTTCTCCCCCTTTCCTAGGCGTGGACCGACGCTTACGGTGTGGCAGCGGGTTCTGTCCTTCCCCCGTCGCGCCTCTTCTAAGCTACCCGTTCGCCCCTCCCCGCCCCTCCCCCTTCCCCCTTCCCTCTCCCCCCTATCCCCCTCTCCGTTTCCCCAGGCATGGACCGACGCTTACGGTCTGGCAGCAGGTTTTGTCCTCCCCCCGTCGCACGTCGCCCTCCCGCCCAACGTTCCCCCCGCGCCGCATCTGGAGGACTGCGCGGCGCGCACGGCGCAGCGCCTTAGAACGGAGATGCGCGGACCCAACGGGGAGCCGCCGCGATGGGCGCGCGCGCGGGGCGGGTGCCGGTACCCGCAACCCCCGTGGGTGGGTATCGGGGGTAGGGGAGGAATGAGGGGAGGAATGAGGGGAGGAATGAGGGAAGGAATGAGGGGAGAAATGAGGGGAGGAATGAGGGGAGGAATGAGGGGAGGAATGAGGGGAGGAATGAGGGGAGGAATGAGGGCGGATGGTTGCAGTTGGTACGATGCAGTTGCCGGGGCTCTGGGAACTCGGGTGCTGGTCACGCGGGGCGGGTGCCGGTACCCGCAACTCCCATTGGTGGGTTATTGGGGGAAGTGTGCACGTAACGTGCAACAGTGAAGGTGTAGGCGGACAAAAGTTTAATTGAACGGATGCCAGTAGAACCCGCAACCACCGTGGGTGTGATTTTTGAGAATTCTCGCGAGTGGTGTTTGAGAATTCTCGCGAGTGGTTTTTGAGAATTCTCGCGAGTGGTTTTTGAGAATTCTCAAAAATCACTCGCAAGGTGTAGGCGGACAAAGGTTAAATGAACGGATGCCAGTGGAACCCGCATCCACCGTGGGTGTGATTTTTGAGAATTCTCGCGAGCGATTTTTTAGAATTCTCAAAAATCACTCGCAAGGTGTAGGCGGACAAAGGTTAATTGAACGGATGCCAGTGGAACCCGCATCCACCGTGGGTGGGTGTTGGACGGAAGGGTTAGTGGGCAGTGAGTGGGGAGGAGGGGAGAGGGGGGGGAAGAGGGAGGGGGAAGAGGGAGGGGGAAGAGGGAGGGGGAAGAGGAGAGGGGGGGAAGAGGGAGGGGGAGCGGCGAGGGTGGAGGTGTTGCGCTGTACTCGTTGCTCAGCAGGTATAGGAGCAACAGAAGACCCTGAACGTTCTGTACTCTGTTGCTCATATATTAGAGAGTAACACCACTCCCCTGGGTCGTTTTTGAGGCGCCTCAAAAACGACCCTGAACGCTCTGTACTCTGTTGCTCATATATGAGGTGTACTCTGTTGCTCATATATTAGAGAGTAACACCACTCCCCTGGGTCCCCTGTTCGCCTTCTCCCCGCCCCCTCACCCTCAGCTCACCCACAGCATCTCCTCGTTATTCCCATCCCCGTTATTGTCACACTCGCTCTCTCAGGTGCGAGGCTCAGATGCTGCCAACCTGGCAGCAACCCGCCAAGCACAGGCCGACATCTGGCTGCACCAGTTCCCCAACCAATCACCGTCAGATGACACGTCAGCAGCTGCCATCTCATCAGCTGCCACGTCAGTCTGCTCCGGGCGGCGGCTGTTCGTCGTGGATTGGCCAAAGAGGAAGCACGGGATTGGCTCTCAGCTAAGCATCATGAGCGCTTACTTAAGCCTCGCGTTGATTCACAACCGCACGCTCGTTCCCACGCCCGGCACTTACTTAAGAGCCAATCACTCCGAGTGCTTAGCGGCTGGGAACTTCAACTCGTTTGACTGCTATTTCTTCCCCTTGGTTGCTAGGAGTTGTGAGGAGCGAGTGAGGGAGGTGATGAGGGGAGGAGGAGAGGCTGGAGGCGGGGTGGGGAGTGGGGGCCAGAAAGAGGGAAATGGGGAGGCGGAAAAAGGGGGAGTAGGAGGAGTTGAGGAGGGGGAGGCAGGCGGAAGGGCAGCAGGGGATGGGGGAGAAGAGGAGGGGAAGGAGTGGGAGGGGGTATGTGCGGACTACAGCAACGTGCGGGCCTTATTGGGCTCGGATCGACCCATCGTGAGGTTCTGTGGAAACTACCTGCACTTCAAATATGAGGCTGACGCTGCCAGGTGAGGAATCTACAGTGGGTGAGGAATCTACAGTTTGTCTACAGTACACTTTACATACGAGCGTGGCTTTTTGGGCTCGGATCGACCAATCGTGAGGTTTTGTGGGAGCTACCTGCACCTGAAGTACGAAGCCGGCGCTTCCAAGTAAGATATGCACAGTGTACTGTAACGGGGATATATAAACGAAATGCACGAGTACACTGGTATTTCTCCAAGTCCCTATATGCCACGTTATTTCCTGCCACGTCATCCTCTGGCTGGCAGGTTGTGGGGGTCGGCGTATCTGAGGCGGCGCAACAGCATCGAAGTGAGGGGGCGAGTGAAGGCCTCAGTGCCGAGGCTGCAGCAGGTACGGGAGTGGGAGGTACGGGAGTGGGAGGTATGGGAGCAGCAGGTATGGGAGCAACAGGTAATGCTGCCACAATAACGGATACCCATTTATTTTTCTTCCTCACTTATCTTCCTTCCCCCCTCTCCGCCAGGTGCACTGGTGGCGTGCCCAATCGCTCCGGTTCATGCTGAGGTGGCCGTCGGCGTACCTGTGCCACGTCAGCAACAGGGTTCGACAGCAGGCGTACGGGCTCCACGTGGCAGTGCGGATAGAGGAGTCCATAGCGGCTCAGAAGAGGATCCTTGATACTCTTAGTGCTGCCGCAGAAGCTACTGGTGCTGGTGATGCCGCTGCTGATGCTGCTGCTGTTGGTGCTGATGGTGGTGATGCTGTTGATTCGAATGCTGTGAGGCCGGATGAGTCTAGAGATGCACAGAAAGAAACTGCAGCAGCAACAACAGCAGCAGCATCCACGTCAGCAGTGTCCACATCAGCAGAAGCAGCAGGCGCCAGCGTGGCTATCAATGCCACGGAGGAAGCAGCTTCCCTGCAGTCCATCTCCTTCCTGGATACAAGCAGCCTCGCTACAAGCACATGGCCTTCTATCGGGTTCGCGGGTTGCACCTCCAATGATGATGGGGGAAAAGAGGGAAATGAGAAAGAGGGGGAAGAGGTGGGGGATGAGGACGAGGTGTACAGGAGAGTGGGCGGGGAGGTGTATATGCCACGGCCGGTGGTGAGTGTGCATGTGAGGCAGGGCGACAAGCAGAAAGAGATGCGACTCAGCTCGTTCCGAGCATACATGCTGCACGTGCAACGGCTGAGGCTCAGAGTGCCAGACGTTCATTACGTGTGGCTCAGCACAGAGATGCAGGTGAGGGGGTTGAGAGGATGGTTTAGCTGTACAAAACGGTGCAAGCAGGCATGAGCAGGTTCAAGGCATACGTGCTCCACGTGCAAGGGCTGAGACTCAAAGTGCCGGATGTTCAAAATGTGTTCCCCCTCTTCTACTCCTGCTCCCCCTCTGTTGTTCCTTCTCTTGACCTCCCCCTCTATATTCCCCTTCCCCTACTGCCCTTCCCATCCCTCACCCTATCCCTCGATCTCTCCTCACAGACAGTCATTGATGAGCTACAGTAGATACATAGCTATAATGGCTGGACCTTCCTGTACAGCAAGAACAAGCACCAGCGCGGGTCAACCCAGATGCTGGAGTATGAGAGAGCAGCCGGGCTGGAGCAGCTCGTGGGGGTCAGCTTTGCGAATCTGCTCTCTGCTGCTCCTACTGATGCTCCCCCTCTTCTTCCCTTCCCTCTGGTGTTCCCTATGCTGCCCTTTTCTGCCCTGCCCTTTGTCTGCCCTCCCCTTTCCCTTTTCTTCATCCCCCACTCACTCCGTACAGTCAGTCATCGACCAGTTAGACAGCTACAATGATTGGACCTTCCTGTACAGCAAGAACAAGCGCCAACTCGGGTCAACACAAATGCTGGAATACGAGAAGGCAGCAGGGTTGGAGCAGCTCGTGGGGGTCAGCTTTGCGAATCTGCTCATCGCTTCAGAGTGTGATTTCTTTGTGGGGCCGCTCGGGTCGAACTGGAACCGGCTAATTAACAATTTGAGGGACACGAATGGGCGGGTGAATGTGGGGTATGTGGCCCTCAACACTGGCGAGTGGTGAGGAGGACTGTCGGTGATACTGGGTTGATGATAGTTATGAATGGGCAGCAGCAGCAGCAGCAGCAGCAGTGGTACACGGGAGCAGCACACAGGAGCAGCAGAGAGAGACGCTTGGTCCTGCCCCTCTTGAGTCAAACTGATATCGGCTGATTAGCGATCTGAGGGCACGAATGGGCGGGTGAATGTTGCTCTCAACATTGGCAGATGTTGTCTCAACATTGGCACCTGGTGAGGACAGCAGCATTCAGGAGCAATAAATTCACTTTGCCCTGCCTTGCTTGGATTGAACTGAAACCGGCTGATTAACTACCGTATCTGTGGGACATTAACGGGCAGGTGGAGACGGGGTATCGTATGTGGCTCTCGGCAGTTGAGAGGGGTGAGTGATAAAACATAACAGTTGGGAGTTGATTCTTGGTTCTTGAGCCGAACTCTGAAACAATTAGGAAGTAGGAAAAGGAAACCATTTTCCCAGCTAGTGATGACACTACACAAGGAGTTAAATTTTTCATTAGCACAACTTGCTAGTGTTGATCGACGGTTCAAGCAGACCAGGCAGAAATTCCACCCGTGACCGCCACGCGCGCTGATAGACAGCAGGTAAACCTTGAAATAAGAGATTGCAACTCCAAGAGCCTGCAAGCAAGAACCAGAGGAAATGAGGACAGCTGAGCCATGGAACAATCACAAATGTATGTGACCAATCACAGCTCAGACAGCTATTCATTGTGATTGTAGAGAGGTAGTCAGCCAGTAAATCCTTGAGAGTACACCCACTGGGGATGCACCCACTCCGACCAGCAGCTAAACCTCGCCAGCTTGTACGGCAGTAATGTGCGCCACGTGGGGATCCCTTAGCACAATATCCTCGATAAAGAGGGCATCGGAGATCGTTCATGGCAACTGCACTGAAAATTCTCACACCAGAATTCAACTAAAAAACACACCTTGTAAACAGCGGTAATTATATGTCGATCCAGACCAACGACGTCACGTTTCTTGCAACGAGAGCTCGTCATGATTTTCAGATCCAGAATCTTGTAACGAATCTGTGAATGCACGGGGAAACAAGGCGCAGGAAGAGACAGATATCATACACCAGCCAGACGAAAGGTGGTAACCACATACGTGAACTGGTACAACGGTCATGTCCCGTAAGCAATCGTCCGGCCAGCAGACAGGGACTGCGGCAAGATAGCGAGCCACGAGCGGTGTTTGCGCCTAAGAGGGCCTTCGAACTCCCCCCAAGACCCGCCGTTCTCGCTTCAGGGAACGGGTCGACAGGTGACTGAAAACACTCGCGACCAACTTTTAATGAAGCTTAAATTCTAATTACTTTTCAGGGTCGCATAAACCATTGCAAAGCTGGGGCGAAGAGATCGGAAACAGAGCAGCGATCAGAGAACTTTGAAGACGTTAAATGCGTGGAAGCATCACCGCCACAAGTGGCTCAACGCAAGATAAAAGAATCTCCTCATATCGCTGCGAGTGAAAAAAAAAAACAGTTGACGAGGACCCACAGCACAATCAGAGAAAATCTTCAGGGCATCAATACATACCTTATAATTCGTAGATTATAACAGCCATGATCATCATCCAAACACGGATTCTTCAGTGCTGATGTCGCCAATTAAGCTTAGGTTGTGATTGCGATTGATCTTGCACGCTTCCACTGACGAAGAACCAACGTGCGACGGAGCACGGACGTCGGTATGAAACATGGACATGCCGCAATGCCATCTGCGAGAACCAAGCAGGAGGAAGAGGTCTAATGTGATCTTAAAAAGGTAAAAAATGTCGAAAGTGGCCAATAAAAATTCGCCTCCTCCAAACGAGGGCAGCGAAAAACCCGAGGGAAACGATCCGGCCCAACTTAACGATCAGCAGGGCCAGCAAGCCCCGGCCACTACCAAAACATCTTTGTTGCAATCATATGGCCGAACCTCTGATGTAAGCAAAGGGCGGATGGAACTATTGCGTTATCTCCCCCCACGAACAGACATCAAAGAGGACGAAAAAGTAATGTCACAGAGAAACCACCGTCATGATGGGATAGCATGTTTGGTGAGTCATACTAGGAAGGTCCACTCAGACAGATTTACGTGAGTTGGAAACGAATAATTTTCTTCAGCGCTGCTTAGCAGCTCGAAGCGAGCTGGGTATATATCGAGTCATCACTGTGGACTACCAGGGTGTGACAGGTGAATTACCGACACAAAAATGAGGTGGCTCGGAAAGAAAGAATGTGGAAGACACAGAACGACGACGATGCTGTTACTGAAACACGGAGGAGGCTCAGACCCTTAGATTCCGCCATCAGATTTGCGCTCAGACAATAAGGATTGTGATCTATAGATATCATCACCGCCTCCTCCGGTAATCGGCACAAGATGACTCGTCAATGAGGACGTTAAGGGTACCCATATACTTACCGATTGAGAGGGTACGCGCTTTCTTGGTTATCACGTGCAGGATCGTCGCGAAACTTGATGCTTCATTATCTGCTCCAAGAACCAAGAGGAATGAGGATCGAGAGGATATAAAAAATGGCGGAGTATATCAGGGACCACCGTCACGAAACCTTTATATCAAGTACAAAAAGGCTTCCAACAAAAAATGGGCAAAAAATGACCACAATTAAAATGAGCGTGTGGGGAACGATTATTCGCGAGCTATCAGCGGGATAAACCCTCGGCCAACGACTCAAATTCGCTCTGCCTCAGTGTGTGCCGTATGGGGGCCCCCGCCGCCAATCAAATCAAACCCGAGCGACAGGGGAAAATACGGCAGATCGCGTGATTATATCGAAAAACAGATCCTCAACTATTTATCACATAGGTCCCAGCTTACAATGTCGGATGAACGGCTGCGAACTCCAGCGGCCATGGCTACGTCGAAGGAATGTCTGGGAGTGTTGACCGAACTGCAGTTGAGGCGGAAGCTATGCAGGAGAGGTGAAAGAAGGGTCAAACGAATGGTTTATATGGCTGAACAAGCATCCCCGTTCCATGTGAGATTTGTTTTTGTGGGTGGGTGGGAGTAGACTCCTTGTAGGAGGAGAAAGCCAACGACTGGTTGTATGGAGGTGGAGGGGTTCGGGTGGGGAGGGGACGTTGGTTTTCGGGAGATGCTTTTCGGGTGTTGCTGAATGACATTCCTCCATGAAGGAATTCCGGATAAGCCGTAAAATATGGATTGGTTGTTATTCCTTTATTCGACTTATGCAATTAAACGTCTGAATTGAATGTGTAATGGTTTGCGCATAAACATCCTATAAGTTTCTCTCATGATTTTACAATAGATATCTGCATTGAGTATTGCTGCCACTGCTTGAAAAGCTGGGTATCTAATATTTTGTTGCGTTAGTACGTTTATGCGGATATGTACCTGACATCTACATAGGACCTGCTTATTGCGAAAGGGTCCAGGAACAAGTTCTGGGTCGTATTTTCTTCACCTGCTTCGATTTTCGTTTCATTCATGGCGACCCTTCACTTCTTGCGTCCCTGTTCGCGCTGCGCTTTATGATCCAGCAAGCTAGCACGCACCGGGTGCTGGTAATTCACCGAACTGGTAGTTTTTTGTTGTTAGTTCTCCTTGAATGATTTCTTAGCATGTGTTTTCCAGGACTGGAGGAGTCTTCTCTCGTGCAAATTTAGGTTTCCAGCCGTGCAGCTGGTTTGCAACTCGTGCCTGGTTAACAAATAAGGTTTGGAAATCCTGCTTGATTTCAGCTATGGATATTTTATCGCGACAGTACGGCAGTGACGAGGAGGGAGGGGAGGATTCTCCGCGAGAGAAATCCGCGATAACGGCTTCTCCGCCTCGGGAAAAGCACGCTTTTGGTACGGGCACTGGTGTAACCCTACCCGGCTCTGCTGGAGCTACTGCTGCGGCTTCGCGAAATCCTCAGGAAAATGACGATAATGATAGCGACGATGACAATATGGCGTACAGGATTCTCGCCCCCCCAAGTTCTGCCGCTCCGCCAGTGAGCGACGCTTTACTCGCTGCTGTACAGCGCGATATCATGACAGCTCCCATCGACCCGTCGAAACGGAATTTACAGTTTAATCCGACTTACGATCAACTGTGGACTCCTGTAGTGGGACCCGCGCATCCTCATAACGCGGACGGCCGCGCGTTAGGGTTGCGAAACCACCGGCTGGGATCCGTCCAAGACGCAGCGGTGGACTCTTTTGTCTTCGATGAACAGTACCACACGTTCCAGGCGTACGGCTACAGTGTTGACCCTGCAAGTGTAAACGGGACCGAGGTCGTGGGTGATAAAGAGGCGGTTGACAATAAGGGGGGTGCTACAGTGTATAATGTGTCTAAACAGGAGCGGGAAAAGCGGGCAATGGCGGTGAAAGAGGAGGAGAGGAGGAAAAAGGCGGAGGAGAAGCAAAGGAAGGAGGAGGAGAGGAAGCGGAAGGAAGAGAAGAAAAGGAGGAAGGAGGAGGAGAGAGCGAAGAAGGAAGAGAGGAAGAGGAAGAAGGAGGAGGAGAAAGCGAGGAAGGCTGCAAAGAAGAAGCGGAAGGGTGATGTGGGGATGGAGGTGGGAGCGGAAGGGGAGGAGGGAGCAGGAGGAGAGGGGGAGGGGGAGGGGGAAGGGGAGGGAAAGAAGCGAGGGCGGCAAGGGAAGGGTGTTAAAGAGGAGGAGGGTGAGGGAAGGGCAAAGAAGAGCAGGGAGGAGGAGAGGGAAGAGGAGGAGGAAGAGGAGGAGGAGGAAGAGGAGGAGGAAGAGGAGGAGGAGGAGGAGGAAGAGGAGGAAGAAGAGGAGGAGGAAGAGAGTGAAGACGAGGAGGAGGAAGAGGAGGCACCAGAAGAAGAACTAGCCAATCCGGCGTCAGAATCATGGCTCCTCAAAAGCTCCAAATCCCCCTGGGCAGGCAAAAAAGAGGAGCCGAAGGCGGAGCTGACCGAGGAGCAAAAAAAATACGCGGAGGAGCACGCTCTGAAAAAAGCCAAGAAGGAGAGGGGAGATAAGGAGGAGGTGGAGGAGAAGAGTACTTTCCATGGCAAGCAGGAGAAGGACTATCAGGGCCGCTCGTGGATTGCACCGCCTAAAGACGTCCTTAATCCCGTGCCGCCCACGCACTGCTATATTCCGAAGCGGTGGATTCACACGTGGAGCGGGCATACTAAGGGTGTCAGTGCCATCCGGTTCTTCCCCAAGTGAGTGTCATAGGTGCATGTCTTTTTTGGGACGTACCCCACACCTAGAAGTGCATACGCACCTACATGGGTCATTTCAAGACCGTACGCAACATCTGCTTCTCCTCTCCCCCCCTCATCTCCTCACTCTCCCCCTTGTCTTGTCTCTTCCCGCCTCTTCGCATGCTCTCTCCTCCTCTGTCCCACCAGGTACGGCCATCTGCTGCTACCTCCTTCAATAAACACCTGGTGCCGAATACGCAGGACGTACCCAACTCGCACAAGTGCATGCGCACATATATACATGGGCCACTCCAAGGCCGTGCGCGACATCTGCTCCTCTCTCCTCCATTTTGAGGCGCCTCAAAAACAAGGCCGTGCGCGACATCTGCTCCTCTCTCCTCCCTTTTCCTGAGTCCCCCTCTTACTCTTCCCCCTTCTCCTCACTCTCCCTTATTCTTGTCTCTTCCCTTCTTCTCCCCACTTCCCCTCTCCTCCCTTCCCTTTGTCCCCTCCTCTGCCCCACCAGGTACGGCCATCTGCTGCTGTCTGCATCAATGGACACAAAGATGGGTTGGGTTGGGGTACCTCGGGTTGTATCTTACTCCGCTTCTCACTTCCCACCTTCTTCACCTCTCCCCACTCCCACCGCCAGGTACGGCCATCTGCTGCTGTCTGCTTCAATGGATACCAAGATCAAGATTTGGGACGTACCTAATACCCACAAGTGCGCCTCTCCCACCTGGGCTCTATCTTACCCCTTTTCTGCTCCCATCTGTTCTTCCTCTGCCCACCCAGGTACGGCCATCTGCTGCTGTCCGCATCAATGGATACCAAGATCAAGATCTGGGACGTGCCCAATACCCACAAGTGCATGCGCACATACATGGTTGGGGTATTCCGGTTCTATCTTACTCCGCTTCTCACGATTCCCCCCTCCCTGCTCCTCTCTTCCCCTCCTCTGTCCCACCAGGTACGGCCATCTGCTGCTGTCTGCTTCAATGGATACCAAGATCAAGATCTGGGACGTGCCCAACACTCAGAAGTGCATGCGCACATACATGGGTCACTCCAAGGCTGTTCGGGACATTTGTTTCGCTAACGACGGGTTGAAATTCGTGTCGTGCGGTTACGACCGTAACATCAAGCTGTGGGACACCGAGACCGGGCAGGTCACGGGGACGTTTTCCACGGGTAAAATACCCTACGTGGTGAAATTACACCCGGACGACGACAAGCAGAACATTCTGCTGGCGGGGATGAGCGACAAGAAGATCATGCAGTGGGACACGCGGTCAGGGGAAATTACCCAGGAATATGACCAGCATCTGGGAGCGGTGAACACGATCACATTCCTGGATGATACAGTATCGGCGGTTTGTGACGAGCAGCGACGACAAGTCCCTCCGCGTGTGGGAGTTCGGCATCCCCGTGGTGGTCAAGTATATCAGGTACGCAATGCACCAGCTCTTCTCTTCTCTGCTCTACTCTGTTCTTCGCTCTTTCCCTGCCCATGTGGGAGTTTGGCATCCCGGTTGTGGTCAAGTATATCAGGTACGCAATGCACCAGCTCTTCTCTTCTCTGCTCCACCTTTTTCTTTGCTTTGTCCCTGCGCGTGTGGGAGTTTAGGATCACCATGGTGGTCAGTTACATCAGGTGATAAAAGTGATGTTTTGAGACGATTTTTGAGTCGACTCAAAAATCGACTCATCACACGACATGGTGGTCCGTTACATCAGGTGATAAAAGTGATGTTTTGAGACGTCTCAAAACCTCCTCTGCGCTGCCTTCCGTGTTACTCATCCCGCTGCGGTTTTCCCTCTTCTTTCCCGACTCCTTATCGCTTCTGCTCGTCCCTGCTTTTGAGAATTCGCAAAAGCGATTCCAGCATCCCTGCTCGCATCATCCGCTTTCCCCCTCGTGTCGGTTTGCCTCACATGCGCTCTTTGCCAACAATTGCGGTGCACCAACCCTTCCCATCCTTCCACGTGAAAGAAGTGTACTTTTGAGTCGTCGCAAAAATGCACTTCTTCCACGTGGTCGTTCGCTTTCCCCCTCATGTTGGGGTGCCCCCCATGTTAGTGAGCCGCCCCCCATGTTAGTGAGCCGCCCCCCATGCACTTTGTGCCTGCAATCGCAGTGCATCCACTCTTCCCATCCTTCCCCTTCCAAGTCTTTCCCTATGCCCTCCCGTCTCCTTCTCCTCTGTTTGCTCTCCTCCGCACACCAGTGAGCCGCACATGCATTCAATGCCAGCCATTGCTGTGCATCCCAACAAGGCGTGGGTGGCAGCGCAATCCCTGGACAACCAGATCATTGTGTATGGCGCCAAGGACCCAAGGACCTTCCGGCCTCATCCTTCCCCTCTTCCCCCTTCCCCGGCCCTCCCCACCCACACCAGTGAGCCGCACATGCACTCCATGCCGGCCATTGCAGTGCATCCCAACAAGGCGTGGGTGGCAGCTCAATCCCTGGACAACCAGATCATTGTGTATGGCGCCAAGGACCCAAGGACCTTCCGGCCTCATCCTTCCCCTCTTCCCCCTTCCCCGGCCCTCCCCACCCACACCAGTGAGCCGCACATGCACTCCATGCCGGCCATTGCAGTGCATCCCAACAAGGCGTGGGTGGCAGCTCAATCCCTGGACAACCAGATCATTGTGTATGGCGCCAAGGACCCAAGGACCTTCCGGCCTCATCCTTCCCCTCTTCCCCCTTCCCCGGCCCTCCCCACCCACACCAGTGAGCCGCACATGCACTCCATGCCGGCCATTGCAGTGCATCCCAACAAGGCGTGGGTGGCAGCTCAATCCCTGGACAACCAGATCATTGTGTATGGCGCCAAGGACCCAAGGACCTTCCGGCCTCATCCTTCCCCTCTTCCCCCTTCCCCGGCCCTCCCCACCCACACCAGTGAGCCGCACATGCACTCCATGCCGGCCATTGCAGTGCATCCCAACAAGGCGTGGGTGGCAGCTCAATCCCTGGACAACCAGATCATTGTGTATGGCGCCAAGGACCCAAGGACCTTCCGGCCTCATCCTTCCCCTCTTCCCCCTTCCCCGGCCCTCCCCACCCACACCAGTGAGCCGCACATGCACTCCATGCCGGCCATTGCAGTGCATCCCAACAAGGCGTGGGTGGCAGCTCAATCCCTGGACAACCAGATCATTGTGTATGGTGCCAAGGACCGATTCAGGCTCAACAGGAAGAAGAGATTCGCCGGCCACATCATTGCGGGATACGCCTGCCAGGTGGGTAGATGGTCCTTTGCACGGTTGGACGGACACGGGCATAGGGGGGGGTGGGCAGGCAGCGCAGTCGTTGGACAACCAGATCATTGTGTATGGTGCCAAGGACTGGTTCAGGCTCAACAGGAAGAAGAGATTCGCCGGCCACATCATTGCTGTTTATGCGTGCCAGGTGGGGGATGGGGGTTCTCAGGGTTCTATGGACATGGTTGGGGACAGGCTTGGGGGTGACAGGCTTGGGGGTGACAGGCTTGGGAGTGTCAGGCTTGGGGGTGACAGGCTTGGGAGTGTCAGGCTTGGGAATGTCAGGCTTGGGGGTGACAGGCTCGAAAGCGTCAGGCTTGGGAGGACGGAGACACAGGAAAAAAAGGCTAATAGTTAAATCCTTAGGCAAGCTGCTGCCTTGAGTTCCCCATATTAACACGCCAACCCCATCGCCAACCCCATCGCCAACCCCATCGCCAACCCCATCGCCAACCCCATCGCCAACCCCATCCCCACACCAGGTCAACTTCTCTCCCGATGGGCGCTTTATAATGTCGGGGGATGGCGAGGGCAAGCTGTGGTTTTGGGACTGGAAGACATGCAAGGTGTTCCGCACAGTCAAGTGCCACGACTCGGTGTGCATTGGGTGTGAGTGGCACCCTCTCGAGACCAGCAAGGTGGCCACCTGTGGCTGGGACGGGCTCATCAAATACTGGTGAGGAGCCAGCTTTTGTAACGAGCTGTTACTGTAGATTATGTGTGTTGCGACAGTAGGGTGGCTGTTGGTTGTTCCGCACAGTCAAGTGCCACGACTCGGTGTGCATCGGGTGTGAGTGGCACCCGCTTGAAACGAGCAAGGTGGCCACGTGCGGCTGGGATGGGCTCATCAAGTACTGGTGAGTGATTGAGTAACTGTAGCAATTGTTACTGTAGAATGTGTGTGTCAACTACTGTGTTGTGAGTGCCTGTGGGGTGTTCCACACAGTCAAGTGCCACGACTCGGTGTGCATGAAACAAGCAAGGTGGCCACGTGCGGCTGGGATGGGCTCATCAAGTATTGGTGAGTGATTGATAATTGTTTCTGTAGAATGTGTGTGTCAACTACTGTGTTGTGAGTGCCTATGGGGTGTTCGCCATAGTCAAGTGCCACGACTCGGTGTGCATCAGGTGTGATTGGCACCCCCTGGAGACCAGCAAGGTGACTACGTGCGGCTGGGATGGGCTCATCAAGTACTGGTGAGTGATTGAGTAACTGTAGCAATTGTTACTGTAGAATGTGTGTGTTAGCTGCTGTATTGTGAGTGCCTATGGGGTGTTCCGCACAGTAAAGTGCCACGCCTCGGTGTGGATCGGGTGTGAGTGGCATGGCACCCCCTGGAGACCAGCAAGGTGACTACGTGCGGCTGGGACGGACTCATCAAATACTGGTGAGTGATTGGTCAACTGTAGCGAGTGTTACGGTAGAATGTGTGTTGCTACAGTATGGTGGCTGTGGGGTGTTCCGCATAGTCAAGTGCCACGACTCGGTGTGCATCGGGTGTGAGTGGCACCCTCTTGAGACAAGGTGGCTAAGTGGGGCTGGCTGGGACGGACTCGTCGAATACTGGTGAGATGCTCTTGTTTACGTTCCATGATTCCAGTAGTTTGTTCCAGTAAAATCCCCTAGTGGGCAGCTGGTGGTGACTCAGCAAAACCTGTCACTCTGTTATTTGACTGGTATTTTTGGGTGTCCCTGCATGGTTTCAATGAATACCCACATGCATCAGATGGCATTTGTTTTTGGTTGTGTTATTTGATCGCACGTGTCTATCCTTCATTTCCATGTGTGGATCAGGGATTAAACGACTGTCTTCTGAGTCATGAAGGCTGCGACATTCTTTTTTGTTTGGCCATATCAGGCTTAGTGTGTTGCATACTTTTTGTGAAGTGTATTGCATACCGTATCACCCCGGATATAAGCGCATATGTGCTTACAATAAATTCATTTTTTTTAGGGGGGGGCGCTTGTAATTGAGTAACGGCCATAAGCGCCGGCGCTTATATAATGACAAATGCAATTTCATACTTTTAGGGTACCAAATTCTGCCTTTCATTGTTGTCACTTCAACCTAGTCGAAACAATATAGCGTCACAAAGCAGAATCGCTCGGAAGCGATTCTGCTTCCTGCACACGGGCAAATTCGCGTCATTCTGCAAGTATGCCAGCACATCCTGACTGGACGCGCAGCCAGTCAGGTCTTCGCGAGTCAAACAAAGCGACAAAGATTTTGGACTCGCTGCAAAAATGAATTTCGCTACCGTTTTAAACAAAAAAAAATCAAGTAAAAACTGTACGTGCGCTTATAATAAGTATAGGTGTTTTAGGGGGGGGGGGGGGGGGGGGGGGGGGGCGCTTATAATTGAGGAACGGCCATAAGCGCCATGCTCCAGATATAAGCGCCGGCGCTTTTAATCGGACGGCTCCTATATCCGGGGCCATACGGTACTATTTGTGTTCTTGTTTTGAGAGCTCTAGTTCTGCTGAATTGATTGCTGCCATGGGAAAACATGAGTTATAAAGCACGCACAACTCCAGGTCATCCCCCTGCTGCCTTTCATTCCATTGATGTTGCAGTTGCGTGCTGCTGCCACATGTTTTCCACTTTTCTGGCGTCCCCAAGAGGAGTACATTAACTTGTTAGTTGTAAGGCATGTTGAGTCTATTCTTTTAAGTGTAGCGAAGATAAGTCTGGGAGCTTTGTTAGTTGCACGGACATATCGATTGCTACAGCAATAGTGAGTCGCATAACCGCGTTCATCAGGCCCGTGCATTCCAGCGAGGCATTTTGTGTCCCCGCCGCGCGCCTCATTCAAATGCGCCACCACTGCCAGCAGCAACTGCGGAGACTTGATCCCAGTGCCACCTTGGGAATTGGAAGCAATTAAAGTTCCCCACGTGGAAAATAGTCCAATGGTTTAACTCCAGCTAGGTTGTATGATGCCAGGTATGGCCAGCCCCCTGCCGCCGCCACATCTGTCTCCCCCGTGCGGTCCATGCACTTTTTCCAAGACACGCCAGCTTGTCGCGCGGGAAGTTCTCCGCAGCAGGTGTGTCAGCTTCCCCGCCTGCGCCATCTGGTTTCCCCCTCTCTCTTTCCTTTCCCCGCTTGCGCTCCGCCCATGGCGATTCGACCACGCAATCCCACGATATTTCCGTGGCGGAAATCTCTGGGGAGGTGAATTCCTAGAAAAAAACTAGAAAAAAACTAGCCGTATTTATTCCACTTCGTCACTCCTATCATCACTTGTTCTGAGATCGAGATTCTTTTTCAGCTATCAGTGTCCGCTGATCCGTCAGGTTTCTTATTTCCGGCCTCTGCGTGTTCGTCGCGTTCAGTCGCACTTCGGTCTCCTGGTTAACTCCACGTCGAGCATTTCATAGCCATGGCGTCTACCATTGACCAGCTGAAGAACATTCCCATCACAACCGGTGAAATCATCGCGGAATATGTCTGGTGAGCCTCGAGTATCAATATGGCTTCGTCCGTCCAAGCATATGTGTTCACTCTCTGTATCTGATACTCCTTTGAACGTTGTCGTTTCCTTTTTGTAGGATTGGAGGCTCTGGAATTGATGTCAGGAGCAAGGCCAGGGTAAGTCCCCAGCCGAAGCGTTCCAGTCTCAAAATATTTTGGACATCTTCCTATCTATGTCGCACTACGCTCGTCTTTTCAAGGTCTTAAGGATATTGCGATTCGATGAGGCCGCATTTCATGCCAAATCCCGTTCCTTTTTTTCTTCGTGCAGACCGTGAAGGGTCCCATTGGTCCCGGCGACGTTGCGAAGCTTCCCAAGTGGAACTTCGACGGTTCCAGCACGGGCCAGGCCCCGGGGACGGACAGCGAAGTGATCCTCTAGTAAGTTCCGCCTCGTTACAGTAACATCTCAATTCAGATGCCATCTCATCACAGATGCTTATCACTTCCTGGTTGCTTACCAGACAACGGCTGGTAGCAAAACAGCTACTGTGTTATCATTTTTTCATATTGTCCTGTAGTCTGCGGTATTCGGTTTTGTGCTCGTGTGGTATCTTCGCACGTGAGGTATATCTTCAGACAGCCCTCAAGCGGTGTTCCAGGATCCCTCCCGTGGCGGCGACAACATCTTGATAAAAGTGTATTCATGTCTCAAATTCTTTTTATCTGGTTCTGCGCTCGTGTGAATACTTTTTGACAGCCCTCAAGCCGTGTTCAAGGATCCCTTCCGCGGCGGCGACAACATTCTGGTGAGAAGCTACATCATGTGATCGTAGGCTTTGACACTCGTGCTAACATAGTTATCGTGTGGCCATGTCACATTCTTTCGCACCTGCTTATCATGCCAGTCGCTTGCGCAACTACTTGTTCATTCGAACAGCCATGCTTGTACTCATTTTCATAAAAATTTCTAGCATTTAGTTGGTACGACAAATTCGTTGAATGAATCGTGTGGTACGATCATCTCCGGTTTGTTGGCCTTCTCTGTCGTCACTGCCAGGTCATGTGCGATTGCTACACGCCGCAAGGCGAGGCTATTCCAAGCAACAAGCGCGCCTTCGCAGCTGCTGTTTTCGAGAAGGTCAAGGAGCACGAGCCCTGGTACGTTTTGTCTTTCCAACGTGACTTTGAGGTACCATGAACCATGGTACGTCATGTCTTCCAGACAACCGTGCTTACTTGTCGTCCTTCCATTTTGTTTTCGAGAAGGTCAAGGAGCACGAGCCCTGGTACGTCTTGTCTTCCCAACGTGACTTTTGAGAAGTCTTGGAGGTACCATGGACCCTGAAATCTCATGTCTTCCAGACATCCGTGCTTACTTGTCCGTGCTTCCAAAAGTTTTGACAAGGCAGTGCTTTCCTTCACGTTCACATGCCTCCTCACGTAACCCTTTATCTGTCCTCACATTCCGTGCCTAACCCTGCCTCGGCATACCCGAACCTCCCTCGCAGGTTCGGCCTGGAGCAGGAATACACCCTCCTCAAGAAAGACGTCAAGTGGCCGCTCGGCTGGCCCACCGGCGGCTACCCCGCGCCGCAAGGCCCGTACTATTGCGGCACGGGCGCGGACAAGGCGTGGGGGCGCGACATCGTCGATGCGCACTACAAGGCGTGCCTGTACGCGGGGATTAAGATAAGCGGAATCAACGCGGAGGTGATGCCGGGGCAGTGGGAGTTCCAGGTGGGGCCGTGCACGGGCATCGAGGCGGGCGATCATCTGTGGATGGCGCGGTACTTGTTGGAGAGAGTGACGGAGATGGCTGACGTCGTGCTCTCGCTGGATCCCAAGCCGATCGAGGGCGACTGGAACGGCGCCGGCTGCCACACCAACTACAGGTCGGTTTGTTTCTCGTCTGAAACTACAACCGTTGTTTCCCCTTTTCCTCAAGACAACTTCCCCTTCCTCTGCTGGGTTTAAGCGATTTTTTTTCTCTTATCTAGGTTGTCAAAATGTCTCGTTCCTGATGTGTGTGAATTCTCCCGTGCAGCACCAAGGCGATGCGCGAGGAGGGCGGATACGATCTGATCGTAAAGGCGATCGAGAAGTTAGGGCTGAAGCACAAGGAGCACATTGCCGCGTACGGCGAGGGCAACGAGCGCCGCCTCACCGGCAAGCACGAGACGGCTGACATGAACACCTTCTCCTGGGTACGCCGCTCTTCTTTTCCTTGGCTTTTGGTTGTCTTATGTGTTACCATGGCGTACGGCGAGGCAACGAGCGCCGCCTCACCGGCAAGCACGAGACGGCTGACATGAACACCTCATGGGTACGCGTTCCCTGTATTTTCTCCTGAAACAGGTGTTTCAGCATGGTGAGAGCACGCTATTGCAGTTCGAAAAAGCCAGCCTTTCTTGTCGGCTTCACGTTATGGTCCCTACTCTTACTCTTCCCTCCCATGCCTCTCTTCCTTCAGGGTGTGGCCAACCGTGGCTGCTCAGTTCGTGTGGGCCGCGACACAGAGGCGCAGAAGAAGGGTGAGTCCTTTCTCTCTTTGCGTTCACGCTTCCTCGTTTTTCAGGGCTTAAATCTTGTTATTTCTACTTCATGGATCAAAAGCAACAAACTCCTGAAACGTGCTTCAGGGCCACTCATGATTATATAAATCTGGTCATCTGCACGTCTTTTTGCTCCCCTTTCCAGGCTACTTCGAGGACAGGCGGCCATCGTCCAATATGGACCCATACATTGTCACGGGCAAGATTGCTGAGACCACCATCTTGTGGGAGCCCACTGGTATGTTCTGCTTTCGCCCATTTTGTGCGGATACAGCTACAACCAGAAGCAGCTGTCTTTGTCCCTTGTGTAGATGCATATAATGTAGTATCTAACGTCTGTCTCTGCCCTCGTCTCTTGCCTATCCTTGTCTTGGCTGTGCAGCGTAAGCGCCCCTCCACACACAGAAAGATGCATAGAAATGGATGCAGCTCGATAGAATGTGCCTTGTTAGAGAGGTCCTGTTATTTGTTTCTTCCCTTATGGCGTGCAATGCTATGAAAGCATAATGTTTGTGTAATTATTTTGGACTTGGCACTGTGTGTTTACGAATGGCAATGACTGAGCTAAACGACTGGGGCGTGCAGCCCCTGCACCCATCCTTGCGTTCATGTGCTTTCATTGTATTGTCAATTCATTCAGTCACAGCTACAACTATCGTTTTCCTCTTTCACTCCATAACAAATGGCATGACGGTAACAGCTGCATTTCCTCGTTCCATTTGCTGAGATCAGAAGTTGATCGTAGCCCAGGATCTACCCAGGAAGGTTCGCACGCAGTGAGATAGTTTGGTGGGCCCTTGACCTCAATAGCAGAGTGAATGTAAAATGCTT